TTTGCCTAGGTTTTCTTCTAGGGTTTTTATGGTGTTAGGCCTTATGTTCAAGTCTTTAATCCATCTGGAGTTAATTTTAGTGTAAGGTATGAGGAAGGGGTCCAGTTTCTGTTTTCTGCACATGGCTAGCCAGTTTTCCCAAAACCATTTATTAAACAGGGAATCCTTTCCCCATTGCTTGTTTTTGTCAGGTTTGTCAAAGATCAGATGGTTGTAAATGTGTGGCATTGCCTCTGAGGCCTCTGTTCTGTTCCATTGGTCTATATCTGTTTTGGTACCAGTACCATGCTGTTTTGATTACTGTAGCTTTGTAGTATAGTTTGAAGTCAGGTAGCATGATGCCTCAAGCTTTGTTTTTTGTTTAGGATTGTCTTGGCTATGTGGGCTCTCTTTTGGTGCCATATGAAGTTTAAGGTGGTTTTTTCCAGTTCTGTGAAGGTCATAGGTAGCTTGATGGGGTTAGCATTGAATCTGTAAATTACTTTGGGCAGTATGGCCATTTTCACAATATTGATTCTTCCTAACTATGAACATGGAATGTTTTTCCATCTGTTTGTGTCCTCTCGTTTCCTTGAGCAGTGGTTTGTAGTTCTCCTTGAAGAGGCCCTTTACATCCTTTGTTAGTTGTATTCCTAGATATTTTATTTTCTTTGTAGTAATTGTGAATGGCAGTTCATTGTTGATTTGGCTCTCTTTAAGTCTGTTATTGGTGTATAGGAATGCTTGTGATTTCTGCACATTGATTTTGTATCCTGAGACTTTCCTGAAGTGGCTTATCACTTTAAAGAGATTTTGGGCTGAGATGATGGGGTCTTCTAAATATACAATCATGTTGTCTGCAAATAGAAACAATTTGATTTCCTCTTTTCCTAATTGAATGCACTTTATTTCTTTTTCTTGCCTGATTGCTCTGGCTAGAACTTCCAATACTACATTGAATAGGAGTGGTGAGACAGGGCATCCTTGTCTAGTGCCAGATTTCAAAGGGAATGCTTCCAGTTTTTGCCCATTCGGGATGATACTGGCTGTGGGTTTGTTGTAAATAGCTTTTATTTTGAGCTGCGTTCTGTCAATACCTAGTTTATTTAGAGTTTTTAGCATAAAGCGCTGTTGAATTTTGTCAAAGGCCTTCTCTGCATCTATTGAGATAATGTGGTTTTTGTCTTTGGTTCTGTTTATGTGGTGGATTACGTTTATAGACTTGCATTATGTTCAACGAGCCTTGCATCCCCAGGATGAATCCTACTTGATTGTGATGGATAAGCTTTTTGATGTGCTGTTGCAATCGGTTTGCCAGTATTTTATTGAAGATTTTTGCATCTATGTTCATCATGGATATTGCCTGAAGTTTTCTGTTTTGTTGAGTCTCTGCCAGGTTTTAGCATCAGGATGACGTTGGTCTCATAAAATGATTTGGGAAGGATTCCCTCCTTTTGTATTCTTTGGAATAGTTTCACCCTCTTTATATGTCTGGTAGAATTCAGCTGTCAACCCATCTGGACCTGGGCTTTTTTTTTGGTTGGTAGTCTATTAATTGCTGCCTCAACTTCGGCCCTTGTTGCTGGTCTATTGAGGGTTTCAACTTCTTCTTGGTTTAGGCTTGGGAGGGTGGAAGTGTCCAGGAATTTATCCATTTCTTCCAGGTTTACTGGTTTGTGTGGATAGAGTTCTTTGTAGTAATCTCTGATGGTAGTTTGTATTTCTGTAGAATCAGTGATGATATCTCCTTTATTATTTTTTATTGCATCTATTTGATTCTTTTTTTTTTTTTTTTTAATTAATCTGGCTAGTGGCCTATTTTGTTAATCTTTTTGAAAAACCAGCTCCTGGATTTACTGATTTTTTTGAAGGGTTTTTTGTGTCTCTATCTCCTTCAGTTTGGCTCTGATCTTAGTTATTTCTTGTCTTCTGCTAGCTTTTGAGTTTTTATCCTGCTCCTCTAGCTGTTTCAATTTTGATGACAGTCAATTTTAGATCCTTCCTTGCTTCTCATCTGAGCATTTATTGCTATAATTTTTCCTCTAGACACTGATTTAAATGTGTCCTATAGAGTCTGGTATGTTGTGTCTTCATTCTCACTGGTTTTAAAGAACATATTTTTTTCTGCCTTCTTTTCATTGTTTATCCAGTCAACATTCAAGAGCCAGTTGTTCAGTTTTTTATGAAGTTGTGCAGTTCTTAGTTTAATCCTGAGTTCTAATTTGATTGCACTGTGGTCTGAGAGACTGTTTGTTATGATTTCCGTTCTTTTGCATTTGCTGAGGAGTGATTTACTTCCAATTATGTGGTCAGTTTTAGAGTCAGTGTGATGTGATGCTGAGAAGAACGTATATTCTGTGGATTTGGGGTGGAGAGATCTGTAAATGTCTATTAGGTTTGCTTGGTCCAGGTGCTGGATATCCTTGTTAATTTTCTGTCTCATTGATCTAACATTGACAGTGGAGTATTAAAGTTTCCCACTATTATTGTGTGGGAGTCTAAGTCTTTTGTAGGTCATTAAGAACTTGCTTTATGTATCTGGGTGCTCCTGTATTGGGTGCATGTATATTTAGGATCATTAGCTGTTCCTGTTGCATTGATCCTTTTACCATTATGTAATGTCCTTTGTCTCTTTTGATCTTTGTTGGTTTAAAGACTATTTTATCAGACTAGGATTGCAACTCCTGCTTTTTTTTCTCTCCATTTGCTTAGTAAATCTTCCTTCATTCCTTTGTTTTCAGCCTGTGTGCATCCTCGCACGTGAGAGGGGTTTCCTGGATACAGCACACCAATGGGTTTTGACTCTTTATCCAATTTGCCAGTCTGTGTCTTTTGATTGGGGCATTTAGCCCATTTACATTTAAGGTTATGTTGTTATGTTGAATTTGATCCTGCCATTTTGATGCTAGCTGTTCGTTTTGCCCACTAGTTGATGCAGTTTCTTCATTGTTTCGATGTTCTTTACCCTTTGGTACGTTTTTGGAGTGTCTGGTACTGGTTGTTCTTTCCTTGTTTAGTGCTTCTTTCAGGAGCTCTTGTAAGGCAGGTCTGGTGGTAAAGAAATCTCTCAACAATTGCTTGTCCATAAAGGATTTTCTTTCTCCTTTGCTTATGAAGCTTAGTTTGGCTGGATATGAAATTCTAGGTGGAAAGTTCTTTTCTTTAAGGATGTTGAATATTGGCCCCCCACTCTCTTCTTGCTTGTAGGGTTTCTGCTGAGAGATCCGCTGAGTCTGATGGGCTTCCCTTTGTGGGTAACCTGACCTTTCTCTCTGGCTGCTCTTAGCATTTTTTCCTTCATTTCAACCCTGGTGAATCTGATGATCATATGCCTTGGGGTTGCTCTTCTTGAGGAATATCTCTGTGGTGTTCTCTGTATTTCCTGGACTTGAATACTGGCCTGCCTTGCTGGGTTGGGGAAGTCCTCCTGGCTAATATCCTTGAGAGTGTTTTCCAGCTTGGATTCATTCTGTCACATTCAGGTACACCTATCAAACGTAGATTAGGTCTTTTCACATAATACCGTATTTCTTAAAGGCTTTGTTAATTTCCTTTTACTCTTTTTTCTCTAATCTTGCCTTTTTATTTTATTTCATTGAGTTGATCTTCAATCTCTGATATCCTTTCTTCTGCTTGGTCGATTTGGCTACTGAAACTTGTGGATGCTTCACGAAGTTCTCGTGTTGTTTTCCAGCTCCATCAAGTCATTTATACTCTTCTCTAAGCTGTTTATTCTCCTTAGCATTTCATCAAACCTTTTTTCAAGGTTCTTAGTTTCTTTGTTGGGTTAGAACATATTCTTTTAGCTCAGAGATGTTTATTACCCACCCACCTTCTGAAGCCTCTCAGTTTATCAGACTCATTCTCCATCCGGCTTTGTTCTTTTGCTGGTGAGGAGTTGTGATCCCTTGGAGGAGGGGAGGCATTCTGATTTGGGGTGTTTTCATCCTTTTTGCACTGGTTTCTTCCCATCTTTGTGGCTTTATCTACCTGTGGTCTTTGTAGTTGGTAATTTTTGGATGGGGTCTCTTGAGTGGATGTCCTTTTTGTTGCTGTTGAAGTTATTTGTTTTTTAGTTTTCTTTCTAACAGCTCCCTCTGCTGTAGGACTGCTGGAGGTCCACTCCAGACCCTGCTTGCCTGGGGATCACCTGTGGCAGCTGCAGAACAGTAAGGGTTGCTGCCAGTTTATCCTTCTGTTATCTTTGTCCCAGAAGGATACTCACCAAATATCAGCCAAAGCCCTCCTTTATGAGGTGACTCTTATATGGGGGTCAGGGAGCTGCTTGAGGAGACAGTCTGTGCCTTATAGGAGCTCAAGTACTGAGCTGTGAACTTTGTTGTTCTGTTCAGAGCTGATGGGCATGTATGTTTAAGTCTGCTGCAGCAGAACTCACAGATGCCTTTTTTTCCCAGGTGCTCTGTTCTGGGAAAGTGGGGCTTTATTTATAAGTTCCTGATGTGCTGCTGCCTTTTTTCAGAGCTGCCCTGCCCAGCAAGGAGGTAGCCTAGTCACAGTCTGCCAGCAGAGGCATTGCTGAGCTGCCATGGGCTCTGCCCAGCTGCTGTGTGAACTTCCTTGCGGTTTTGTTTATAGAGGTATAGTTAGATCTGCAACAAATATCCTCCTTCATAAAGTTCAAAAATAATCTGTGATGATAGGGTGAAAACAGTGGGGACCTCTGGAGGTGGTGAGGGTCACGGGTATCAACGGGGAGCAGGCACCTATAGGAAGCCTTCTGTGGCAATGGAAGCGTTCTCTAACTTGATCTAGGTAGTAGTTACACAGGTGAACACTGTAAAAGTTTAACCAGCTGAGCACTTAAGATTTGTGCACCTGTATTACAATGAAGTAAAGAAGAATTGCAAGAAGAAAAAAGAAAATTTGTGAACAACTAAGGTGTTAGGACTATGCCAACAGCATGTTACAACCACGAGACAAAAAGTAAACTGATAAAGGTATCTTTGTCCTTCCCTATTAACATGAAAAAGATTTTTTTTTTAAAAAAAGATTAATTTAAATGCACCAATGTTATTCCTTTTATTATAATAGTTGAAACTTGGCTTAAAGTTCAAAATACTATTTCCAGATAATTTTCCACTATTACATAAAATAGGCAACTTTGTTATGTTTATGCTATACGTATCAGTTACTTATCAGCACTGAATTTTAACCACTCTGCTAAATTTTGAGAAAACAGCCAAACCCAATATAATTAATCTGGCCTACAAATTTTATAGTGGCTATTACTAAAAATATTTCAAAAGAAATTTATTTTACTATATTCCATATTCTTTAACTTAAAATCTGTTGCCACCATTTAGTAAGAGTGGGACAAATACAATTCTTTAAAATATAGAAAATATAGTTCCTGTTAAGATTTTGCAAAAAAAATTAATAATAAATAATACAATTTGAATACTCTAAAACAATATACTTTGTACTCTAGATTGTGGTTTTGGGTAGTATGTCTTGACACTATGAAGATTTACATGAGTTCAGGGAATGAGTTGTAATACTATTAATGAAGAAATAGTCAACATAACCAAATACCTGACAGAATTCCTCATATGGATATTTTTAGGAGTATACAAATAAAAAGATAAATAGATTTTAAAATCCTAAGAACAAGACAGAACAAAATTATACATGACAGGCAGAACCACCTGGGTTACAGTATACGTAAGGCAAGAGTGAATACAGCACCTTGAGACACAAAACATCTTAAAATTACAGTCTTATCTATGTATATATAAAATAGAACATTCTGTATTGGTTACGTGAACTAGATTAAAACCTAGAAATCTTAGTATTAACCAGAACTTCCTGACTGGCTGACACAGCACATTAGTGAGGTAATACAGGTGGTACTTGAGACTTTCCAACCTTTTTCAAAGACTTTCTTCAGCTTTTGACTTTGACGCAATCACCTTCAAGGCACCAGTCCAAGTGTTCATTAATCTGAGACTCCAAAACTTCATTCTGACAAACTGGGCAATTAACTCTTTTGCTCTGACTGGATGAACTGCTGGAATTCTGAATGGCTGTAGGACATGAACTATACTTTGGATCATTACTCCTGCTTTCTATTTGCTCTTTCTTGATAAAAAAATTGTCAAAAACAGTCTTATCCTCTAGCCTAGGTCGTTTATTTGGGAATGTACCTTCAGACCCATTCACATCCTGGGATAGAGTCACAGACGTTGATTCCATTGCTTTTGAAGAATTTCTTAGGGATATCTTAGAAGATGAAACCCTTCTTTGAGAACCAGAAGAGACTGAGTTTTTAGGGATGTTGCCAACTGTTACATTTTTCGTTGGAGATCCATTCACACCTCTGAAAGCCTTTTGGCTGGCAACTGATAATCTAGGAAAGTAGTTGCTTAGAACATTTTGGTGACTGTTAAGAGCAGGGAAGACTAGATGAGAATTTTTTTTACTTGAAACATTCTGTTCAAAATTCACCTTGATTTTAGAATTAGATCTTACAGCATTTGCTGAATGGTTGTGATTTAAAAGATTTTGGGTTTTATTAACGGCATGTGAAGTGATCAACTTCCCAGGTGAAGGTAAAATGCTTGTTTCTCCTAGAACATATCCTTTACCACTAAAAGGAATGACTAGCTGGGCCTCACCTCTGTTGGGTTTATCTGCAAAAAAAGCAAGTAAGATTTTTATATAAGTGCCTCATCTCAATAGATAGACAGTAACAAACATTAACGTAGAGTTTTCTCAAAATGAAGAAATAATATTTTAACTATCTTATACCCAGGCAATCCTATTAATGGGAGAAGAGCAATCTTCAGAATTAAGAGTTCTAATGCTGATGAGAATATAAAGGATAAAGTGAATTCTCGAATATTTAATTATAGAATCTTACCATGCCAAAGACCAATAAAAAAGCAACATTTACCATGAGAATTACTTAGTGTCCTTTACGTGTAATTCCAGGAGGGAAAAATCTGCTGCCTCGTTCTTATCTTTCCTCTACTCACAAAAATGAAGATAAAGTCTTTCCACATTAATTCATCTACAGCTCCTTCACTTAATTAAAGATTTGGGAAATACAGCCTATGTTCTTGGGTTCTACCACATGAAATCAACTTCCCAAGGGAAGAAGCATCTTCAGTAACTCTGAACTTCATAGGAAAAGGGTAAATCTTGAAGTACTGGCAAATACTTTCCCATTCTTCTAAAGAACATACATCAATAGAAGTCACTTGGATAGAATCCAACTGATAGGAAGGGGTGTAGTTAGGATGCATATTCCGGGCATTGTTACTTGAAAATCATTGTTTTTATTTTGACAAAAAAAAATTTTTTTTTTTTGAGGCAGAGTTTCGCTCTTGTTACCCAGGCTGGAGTGCAATGGCGTGATCTCGGCTCACCGCAACCTCCGCCTCCTGGGTTCAGGCAATTCTCCTGCCTCAGCCTCCTGAGTAGCTGGGATTACAGGCACGCGCCACCATGCCCAGCTAATTTTTTGTATTTTTAGTAGAGATGGGGTTTCACCATGTTGACCAGGATGGTCTCGATCTCTTGACCTTGTGATCCACCCGCCTCGGCCTCCCAAAGTGCTGGGATTACAGGCGTGAGCCACCACGCCCAGCTATTTTGACAATCTTTTTGCCTTCTGTTTCCTAATAACTCAGTGAGTCAAGATAGGGAAAGGAACTTTACCTCAAATATGATCAGGGATTGAGTTTTGTTTCTTTGAATAAAAAGAAAATGAAAAAGTTAATTAAAATATCAATGGAAACTATTCCTACTTTTACTTACTTCTGTATAGAGCAAAGTATATTTTCCTACCATCATTTCATGGACAATGGGATTTTTTTCCTTAAGTCTACAGCTGAAGACTTCTACACCAGAAACAATCCTTAAGCTTATCTTAATACCAGTTCTCTGAAGGACAGTATTGTCTTTACAATGTGGCTATAGTCACAGAAAAGGTGGAAGAATACACACGAAGGTACCTTTAGTCTCTGTGGCTGATACTGGGTGCTGTCCTAGTTTTGTCTTTCCTTTGCCTTTTTTTGAGTAATTCTCTGGCTCCTTGATTTTTATGAAAGTGCCTCCACAGGTTTTCTGGTGCTCAGCCCACCAATAGTCATGAGCAGAGGGCTCCCTGTTAGTAGCTCGCTTGACATAGCCGTAATATGGCGGCCGGTGCTGGCACGGCCCATTGCAGCGCCACCAGTGTCGCCGATACTCATCCACCTCATCATGAAAAGTATGGTACACCTGAGTGGAGAGAATTTTCAGTATTCAATAAGGAAGTTAGCAACTGCAAGACAACAATGTACATAAACAGTCTTTTTTTTTTTTTTTTAATTTTTAATACTTTTGTTTCCCAGAGTTTTCTGAAAGGTTCTATTTTGGAAAAGAAAGCAACTATATTTAGTTTCTGTTCAAAAGTTGATTTTAATGGGAAACAGCAGCAGTTAATACTCCATAAACTGTGTAAACACAGATGCATGTGGGGTTAGAAGACAAGAAATCTTTTAAAAACAAAACCACAGAAAATCTCCATGAACACTAAAAGTTTTTGAAATCAAATTTTTAAATGATCAAAAAATTAGGATAAAGAGTTTATGTAATACCATACTAAAATAAGAATCATTCCCACTGCTAAATTGGAATTTTCCCTTTAAGTAACAATAGCAAAGGGTTCTAAAGGACTAAACTATGCCCTATAAATGCCTGAGCCTAACAATACTAGTATCTTACCCAACAAAGCTTCTGCTAAGCTCGCTCTCTACATTCTCAAAGTTCTTTGCTTATGTCTCCGTAATAAGCCTTATGTGGTACTATTTTATCTGTTTATAAATACTTCTCTTGCCAGACTAAAAAGTTCTCCAGGATCTGAACGTTTAAATTTTCTGTGTCCCTAGTGGCTACTATCGTGCTTTTGGCACCAATAAGGTGCTCAGCCAGAGAAGCATCATTCATTGAGTCAAATAAATTTCTCAGTGTGCTTTGCAGGTCTTGAGTAGGATGCCTTCTTTTTTCACTCTCTAGACAAAATTCCTGTTTAGAACCCAAGCAGACAATAGGTAAGAGGAAAGATCGGACTGAAAAGAGGGTCAGCTCTCTCAGCGCAGTGGCACTGAGGACTAGAGAACACCATCTGAAAGCGACTCCTAAATGACGATGGCCACCTTATTCTTCTGCCTTCTCATTGGAACATTACTACTTCTCTAAGAGTAAGAAGCATCTATATATGATATTTTGGTTTTTTACCAAAGACATTCAGCTTTCTAATAAATTCCCCTTGTGGGAAAGAATGCCAAGCTTTTCTATAACTTTATAGATAGTGTTAAATTCACTATCTCTCCATCCTAAGCAAAAAATTTCTACTACTTGGTAAGCATGCAAATGATGCACATTATATTAGATGTAGAAGGGACTGAAGGACATAGGTTTTAAGGCAAAGAAGCATGGGAACCCCCACACTATATTACGTTCAGAACTCTTGACTTTAATTTGTTACCAAAAAAGACGGGGAAATGGATGTTTTGTTTGTTTTGTAACATGGACTCACTCTGTTTGCCCAGGCTGGAGTGAGGTGGCATGATCTTGGCTCACTGTAACCTCCACCTCCCAGGCTCATGTGATCCTCCCACCTCAGCGTCCTGAGTAGCTGTGACTACAAGTGTGAGCTACCACACTTGGCTAATTTTTAAAATTTTGTGGAAACAAGATCTCACTATAGTGCCCAGGCTGATCTTAAACTCCTGGGCTCAAGTGATCCTCCCATTTCAGCCTCCCGAAGTGCTGGGATTACAGGAGTGAGCCACCACACCCGGCCTAGATCTGTTTTGCGTGAAATTCCTGTAACTCCTACAGCTTGAGAATGTGACTTTTAACAATGTAATCACTAAAATAAAACTATTCTACAATGTAGATACCCTGTGGAGTTCCTTATAACAGGATGTAACCTGTAAAAGCAAGGGGTGTTCACTTCATAAAACCTCTCCTAAATAAAAACACACAGATACCTAAGATAAAAGAACAGATCCTCTTCCAACTGAACAGTGGGATGTATACAAGGGCTTTGCTTAAAGTTTAAGTTCTGGTTAAGAAACTAAAAGTATTTTATACAAGCAACTCTATAATTATCTTGCTAACCTGGATTTTATATCTGATTTTTTTTTTTTGAGACTGAATCTCGCTCTGTTGCCCAGGCTGAAGTGCAGTGGCATGCTCAATGCAACCTCCACCTCCTGGGTTCAAGCAATTCTCTGCCTCAGCCTTCTGAGTAGCTGGGATTACAGGCACCTGCCACCACACCCAGCTAATTTTTTTTTTTTTTGTATTTTTAGTACAGACGGGGTTCCATCATCTTGGCCAGGCTGGTCTTGCACTCCTGATCTTGTGATCCACCCGCCTCAGCCTTCCAAAGTGTTGGGATTATAGGCGTGAGCAACCGTGCTTGGCCCTTATGTCTGATTTTTTTAAGACTGCAAGCCACTTTCCTAATGTTGAAGTAACTGTGCTAATAATTAAATGAGGTCTTTAGAAAATTAAAACTAATAGTTAGAAAATAATAATGTATGGAGAGGCCAGGCATGTGGCTCATGCCTTTAATCCCACCATTTTGGGAGGCTGAGATAGGAGCCCATGAGTACAAGACCAGCCTCGGCAACATTGTGAGACCTTGTCTCTAAAAAAAAATTTTTTTTTAAATAGCCTGGCATAGTGGCATGCACCTGTAGCCCCCACTACTCAGGAGGCTGAGGCAGGAGGATCACTTGAGCCCAGGAGGTTGAATCTGCAGGGCTATGATTATACCACTGCATCCACTCTAGGCAAAAGAACAAGACCCTATCTCAAAAACAAAACAAAACAAAACATGGCGGTTAAGCACTGTTCATTTTCTATCACACTGGATTTTGTGGCCTTTTAAAGGAAGGAAATACCCAAACATAAGAAAGAATGTAATCTATTCTATTAATATTCAATTCATATTTGTTAAGCCCATGTAAGAACAGTACATTATATACCTTATACAGATGTATTATAAAGATGGCCAAGAGCTACTACGTGTTCAAAAGAAATGAAAGTAGCATTAAAAACTGTAAAAGCTTAAATATCTGCTGAGGATTCAAAAGATGGAGAAATGAGATGCCACTGGAACGATGAAGAGCATTCAGACGTAAAGCAGAGCAGTGGCAAGCTTTAGGACACAGGCAACAGAGTTGGAGGCAGTAAAAAAGGAACAAGGTTATTTCATAAAACGAATACAATAATGATTAAAACAACTAATGTTTAATTAGTGCTCAAACTGGGCTAAAATGTTTTGAAGTGCTTTTGCCTGTAATCCTTTCTCCTCACAATGACCCAATAGATAGTAACTGTTATTACTCTCATTTGCCATGGGAGTAAAATGAGGCATAGAAAAGTTAAAGTTAATAATTGGTGGAGCCAGGATTTGAATCCAAGAAGCCTAATGCTTACAGCTTTTTGAACTTCAGGCTTTGCCACGTCCTACAATGCCATGCAGAGATAGGAATCAAAGAATCCTGAGAGGGAATGACATCTGCAATGGCAGCAGGATACAGGATGAACTACAGAAGACAGTAATAAGGAGACAAAGGTGAGAGGTCAGATGAGTCCAGAAGAGAGGTACTGCAGGCCTGAATTAACCACTGACTTAGATGAGCTCAGAGGCCTCAGGGACATCACTGGCTCTGCTGCCATCCTACCATGTGGCCCCAGACAAGCCAATTCGCTTCTCTAAGTCTCTCGTTCGCTGTGGAAAATCCTCAAAGATATTTCTTTGTACCTCGTTCTCTACTTTTAATTAAATTTCAGGAGTTATTGAATAAACAACTACTAAATATCATAAATATATACGGCCTTATGTACCGTTATATTGGCTCCAGTCATTCTGTTGATTCGATGCATGTGTTTACAAAACTCTGGACCATGCCCTTCTCGGTCTTTATCATTATTAGTGACAAATAAATAGGCATGTATCATTTCATGCAGGAGGGTCTGGAACATAAAATAATCAAATTATTTTCAGAGTTTGCGTGACACATCAGAAAATATACATTTTCTTGTTCTATCTGGAGTCTTACCTTTTTTGTATCACAGGGTTCCTTGAGAACTGATAAAATTCATTCTAGGCTGGGTACAGTGGCTCATGCCTGTAATCCCCACACTTTGGGAGGTAAAGGTGGGAGGATCGCTTGAGCTCAGGAGTTTGAGACCAGCCTGGGCAAGATGGTGAAACCCTGTCTCTACAAAAATTAGCTGGGTGTGGTGGTGCATGCCGATAGTCCCAGCTACTCTGGCGGCTGAGGTGGGTGGATCCTCTGAGCCTGGGGAATTGAGGCTACAGTGAGTTATGATCATACTACTGCACTCCAGCCTGGGTAACAGAATGAGAACCTGTCTCACAAAAATAAAACATCAACAAAAAACCCACCTCATTTATAAAAATTATGTAAGCACACATTCACAAAACACTGCATAAGAGTTGAGCATCTCAATGCTGAAAATCCAAAATTCAGAAACATTTTGAGCACCAACATGACACTCAAAGGAAATGCACATTGGAGCATTGTGGATTTTCAGATTTGGGATGCTCCACCTGTAAGCATAACACAAGTATTCCAAAATCTAAACAAATCTGAAATCCAAGACACTTGTAGTCCCAGGCATTTCAGAGAAGGGGTACCCAAATTTGTATAATATCGGAAGCTCTGAAAATCATAGGTTAAGAACTCCCTGTTCTAAGAGGGCCTTTTTAACTACAAATCAACATCCAGAAAAATCAATGAATTAAACTACATAAAAACTTTAAAAATTCTTTTTTTCTTTTGAGACAGGGTCTCACTCTGTTGCCCAGGCTGGAGTGCAGTGGCTCAATTTCGGCTCACTGCAACCTCTGCCTCCAGGGTCCAAGTGATTCTCATGCCTCAGCCTAATGAGTAGCTGGGACTACAGGTGCCTGCCACCATGCCCAGCTAATTTTTGTATTTTAGCAGAGATGAGGTTTGGCCATGTTGGCCAAGCTGGTCTTTGAACTCCTGACCGCAAGTGATCTGCCCGTCTCAGCCTCCCAAAGTGCTGGGAGCCACTGCGCCCCGGCAAAACGTTAAAATTCTATAGGAAAAAAAACCCCCACAAGTAAAAAGATAAACTTAAAAAAATATATGTACAACTCATATCATAGGCTATTCCTAATATACAAGGTCCTAATGTCAACAGGGAAATGACAACCCAATTTCAAAATGGGCAAAGATTACGGAATTTACGAAGTATAAATGACCCATAAACAAATGAAAAAAAATGCCCAACTTCATTTATAAAAAGAGAAATGCAAATTCATACTACACTAGGATAGTCAGGCGTGGTGGTTCATTCCTGTAATTTCAGCCCTTTGGGAGGCTGAGGTGGGAGGACTGCTTGAGGCCAGGAGTTGAAAACCAGCCTGGGTCAACACAGTGAGACCTTGTCTCTACAAAAATAAAATAAAACAACTAGCTAGGTGTGATGGTGTGAACCTGTAGTCCTAGCTACTCAGGAGGCTGAGATAGGAGGATCTCTTGAGGCCAGGAATTCAAGGTTGCAGTGAGTTATGATTGCCTCCAGCCTGGGCAACCCAGCAAGACCCTGTCTCAAAAAACAACAACAAAAAAAACCCCCATCAAAACCCAACACTACACTAGGATTCTATGGCTTATCAAGATTGGTAAAACTCGTAAAATTTGACACCGTTAAAAAAGCTAAGGGAAAATAAACATTCCCATATACTGCTGGTGGAAGTGCAATTCTCCTAAGAAAAATTTGGTAGCATCTAACGGAATTGCAAATGCATTTGTCTTTTAAGGCAGCAACACCTAGACTAGCATGCAAGGTCATATGTACAAGGGGTATTCACTGTGACACTGCTTATAATACAAAAGATTGGAAATAACTCCAGTGTTTTGTACATCCACATAATGGAATTCTATGCAGCCTTAAAAAAGAATGAGAAGGATCTATGTGAAATAGGTTTGGAGAAAGCTACAGAGTATATTAATGAAAAAGAGAGGGGGCCGGGCAAGGTAGCTCATGCCTGTAATCCAAGCACTTTGGAGGCCAAGGCGGGCGGATCACCTGAGATTGAGAGTTCAAGACCAGCCTGACCAACATGGTGAAACCCTGTCTTAAAAAAAAAAAAAAAAAAAAAATCAAAAAAGAAAAAGACAGGGGGCCAGGTGTGGTGGCTCACGCCTGTAATCCCAGCACTTTGGGAGGCTGGCGTGAGTGAATCATCTGAGGTCAGGAATTCAAGACCAGCCTGGTGAACATGGTAAAACCTCGTCTCTACTAAACATACAAATATTAGCTGGGCATGGTAGGCAGGCGCCTATAGTCCCAGCTACTAAGGAGACTGAGGCAGGAGAATCTCTTGAACCCAAGAGGCAGAGGTTGCAGTGAGCCGAGATGATTGCGCTCCAGCCTGGGCAACAAGAGCGAAACTTTATCTCAAAAAAAAAAAGAAAAGAAAAGAAAAAGAAAAAGAAAAAGTACAGAAGATTGTGCACAGTATTTTGTGTAAGAAAAGTTTTGTGTGGTGGGGAGAAGCAATAAAAATGGATAGAAATATTTGCAAAACAGAAAAATGAAAGAGTAAAAAGAAACTTAACAGTTCCTACAGCAAATAGGGAGTTCAAGATGGAGGAGGATACTGAACAAGACATCTTTGTATACAGCTTTCTACAGTTTTTGGGTTTTGATTCAGAAATTATGAAAACTTTAAAACAAACACTAAAACCTACTGCCCATTCCGCACCAAGGATGCACAAGTTTCTGTGCAAAATTAACAAAAGCATTTAAGGTTGCTGGGGTTTTTGCTCTAAAAAATACAAATAATTTTTTAAGCAAAAATCAGAAAGCTCTTCAAAGACATACCTTTTTCATGATCCTCCAAAATTTTTTTAAAAAAGAATTTCCATCAGAAGAACTAGACTGTCATTAATGAATTTTAGTCTTATAAAATTATGCTGAACAGAAAAATGAGAGAATCAAACATTTTAACTTGGTCATTCATATATTCCTCTAAAAATTATCAACTGTATCTCTTAAAAGGAACTTTATTTATCTCATTATTTCTCAGAGATGGGGTCTCACTTTGTCACCCAGACTGGAGTGCAGTGACATGATTATATTTCACTGCAGCCTCAAATTTCTGGGATCAAATGATCCCAGAGTAGTTGAGATTGTAGGTGCGTGCCACCACACCTGGCTAATATTTTTTCAATTTTTTGGTAGAGACAGGGTCTCACTATCTTGCCCAGATAGGTCTCCAACTCTTGGGTTCAAGTAATCCATCTGTCTTTGCCTGGGATTACATGCATGAGCCACTGCACCCAGCCAGAACTTTATTTTTCAAGTAAATGCCACTCAATGAAGAAGACTCAAACTCAAGAAAGGTATTTCAAAAGTTTCTCAACATTCTAAATTAGAGTAATGATAAAGAACTATTCTTATAAAGGAGAAACAAATTTAGGTTCCTGATTTTTGGTTCAATTTAATTAAACATTAAAAACATCCCCAAAATGGTACTGAACTTTTTTTTATATCTATCATTTTTATATCTACCATTTTACATCTATCATTTAGTCTCAATTCAAGGATATATACCACACAGTCTCGACACACCTCTGTTTCCCATTACTGTTCTATCCAGTCAAAATGAGCTACTTTTAGTCCAACATGCCCCCCGTTGTCTGATCTCACCTTTGTTCATATTATTCCCACTCTTTCTGCCAAGCGTGGCCTCCTATACTATCTCTGCTTGTCAAGGGTACAGTTTAACCTTTAAGGCTCACCTCTCCACATTTTAATCAACAGTAGTATGACGTGAATGGTAAAGAGGGCAGACAAGAGCCTTGAGTCAGGGCAACTAGAACCTAAACCCACAATTGTATGCATGAGACCCGGGACAGGTCAGAGCGACTCCTCCTCCCGAAAATGGGAGATCCTAATTTTGTAGGGCTGTAGCAAAGGCTACGCTAATTTAGTCCAAAGTCTCACATACAATAGGTGCTCGATAGTAAGCAGTAGGAGTGGTGATGGTAGTAATAAAATGTACAGTTATAAAGCTTTTCTTTTTTTTTGAGACGGAGTTTCGCTCTCGTTACCCTGGCTGGAGTGCAATGGCGCAATCTCGGCTCACTGCAACCTCCGCCTCCTGGGTTCAGGCAATTCTCCTGCCTCAGCCTCCTGAGTAGCTGGGATTACAGGCACGCGCCACCATGCCCAGCTGATTTTTTGTATTTTTAGTAGAGACGGGGTTTCACCACGTTGACCAGGATGGTCTCGAACTCTCGACCTCGTGATCCACCCGCCTCGGCCTCCCAAAGTGCTGGGATTACAGGCTTGAGCCACCGCGCCCGGCTAAAGCTCTTCTTGACCGCCTCAACCAGATAACACCTGTTCCTTTTCTGAAGCCCCTTCATTATGATTTAGTTAACTACAACTGCGCCTCACTTGACAAGGGCATGTTCTAAAAAATCCATTGTTAGGCCATTTTGTCATTGTGCAAACATCTTAAGAGCGTACTTACACAAACCCAGATGGTATAGCCTAACTACACACCTAGGCTACAGGGTATAGCCTCTGCTCCTAGGCAGCAAACCTGTACAGCATGTTACTATACTGAATGCTGTAGGCAGTGCAACACAATGGTAAGTATTTGTGCAACTAAATATAAAAAAGAAAAAAGGTACAATAAAAATACGGTCTTGGCTAGGCATGGTGGCTCACGCCTATAATCCCAGGCCAAGGTGGGCAGATCACCTGAGGTCAGGAGTTTGAGACCAGCCTGGCAACATGGGGAAACCCCACCTCTACTAAAGACACAAAAATCACCAGGGCATGGTGGCAGGCACCTGTAATCCCAGCTACTTGGGAGGCTGAGGTAGGAGGATCATTTGCACCCAGGAGGTGGAGGCTGCAGTGAGCCAAGATAATGTCATTGTACTCCAGCCTGGGCAACAAGAGCAAAACTCCATCTCAAAAAATAAATAAAAATTTTAAAATAATAAAAATATGGTTTTATAATCTTATGGGACACTTGTTACATATGCGGTCCATCACTGACAAAAATGTTGTTTTGTAACTTTCTGCCAACAGGAAATGCTCACTTGATACCATTATACATTCCCCATTCTCTTCTCATCCACTAGTTAAAAACATTTATGCATGTGTTTATGTAATCATTTACCCAATACATATTCTTTAAGCAATTCTTCCAATTAGGGCTCCTTGTAAAGCTGATTTGGTTAATCATGCTGCTCAACTTTTAAAAATGTGTATTATTTTTTTCTGCTTATTCATTGGGTTACTAAAAAGGCTGTGTTAACATTCTGCAAGTATGAGGCTGGGCAAGGTGGTGGACACCTGTAATCCCAGCACGCTGGGAGACTGAGGCAGGGGGATTGCTTGGGCCTGGGAGGTTGAGGCTGTAGTGAGACAGGAATGCTGTGGTGTGATCTCAGCTCACTGTAACCACTGCCTCCCAGGCTCAAGCGCGATTCTTGTGCGTCAGTTTCCTGAATAGCTGAGACTACAGGTGTGTGTCACCACACCTGGCTAATTTTTGTACTTTTAGTAGAGACGAGGTTTCACCATGTTGGTCAGGCTGGTCTCTAACTCCTGGCCTCAAGTGATTCGCCAACCTCAGCCTCCCAAAGTGCTGGGATTACAGGCGTGAGCCACCCCTATTGTAGATTCTTTTTGCTTCCGCTAATTTATGCTGCATAAAATTTAAAGCTATGTTATTGCTTATAAGGTCATTATGTATTGTTGTTTAATAGGTTATTTTATTGTTATAAAATATCCCAATTTTCTTCTAATAAAACTTCTTCCCTTGAAGTCTTTAGTCTGATACTAATACTGGTTGAACATCTCTAATTTGACAATCCAAAATCTGAAATGCTCCAAAATCCAAAACTATTTGAGCACTTACAAGATGCTTAAAGGTTATGTTCCAAGGAAATGCTGACTAAAGCCATTTCAGATTTGGGATTTTTGGATTAGGGAAGTTCAACCAGTAAGTATAATGCAAATATTCCAATTTTTAAAAAACATCTGAAATCTGAAACACTTTGGATAAGGAATACTCTGGTCCCAAACACTTTGGATAAGGCATACTCAACCTATATAGCCACAATAGTTTTCTGCTGTTAAGTGTTTGGATGATATACTTCTCCCCATCCTTTTAAACTTAAAATAAGTGTGTCTTTACTGTAAGCATGTCTCTTTTAATCTACCATGCCATTCCACATCTTCAATGTTTAGTCCATGTACATTTAATTATTGATATTTTCTTTACACCCACCTTTCTCTTTACATCATCTGAGCTTTGTTCTTTTTCATTAATCAAGTATTTCTACTGTATCATTTTACACTTAGTAGCTATTCTTTAAACAAATTGTAGTAAGAAATACATTAACAAAATTCACCATCTTACCCATTTTTATGTGTACAGTTCAGTGTTGAGTATATTCACACTGTTATGTAACCCATTGCCTTTTATTATTCTTAAAAACAGTATCCCTGGCTAGGCAGTGGTGGCTCACGCCTGTAATCCCAGCACTTTGGGAGGCAGGCCAAGGTGGGTGGATCACCTGAGGTCAGGAGTTCAAGACCAGCCTGGCTAACATGGCGAAATTCCATCTTTACTAAAAATACAGAAATTAGCCAGGCATGGTGGAGGGTGCCTGTAATCTCAGCTACTTGAGAGGCTGAGCAGAGAGAACTGCTTAAAGCCCAGGAGGCAGAGGTTGCAGTGAGCCGAGACTGTGTCAGTGCACTCCAGCCTGGCTGATAGAGTGAGACTCCATCTTAAAAAAAAAAAAAACAAAACAAAAAAACGGCATCCCTCATCTCCAAGCATGTTTTAACATGTTTCCCACCCCATGCTGAGAAACTCTACCACCCTGTGCTCTTTTGTATAGATATTTCTTTTCTTTTTTTTTTTGAGACGGAGTTTCACTCTTGTTACCCAGGCTGGAGTGCAATGGCGCGATCTCGGCTCACCGCAACCTCCGCCTCCTGGGCTCAGGCAATTCTCCTGCCTCAGCCTCCTGAGTAGCTAGGATTACAGGCACGCGCCACCATGCCCAGCTAATTTTTTGCACTTTTAGTAGAGACGGGGTTTCACCATGTTGACCAGGATGGTCTCGATCTCTCGACCTCGTGATCCACCCGCCTCGGCCTCCCAAAGTGCTGGGATTACAGGCTTGAGCCACCGCGCCCGGCCAGTATAGATATTTCTTTTTTGGGGGATGGAGTTTCGCTCTTGTTGCCCAGGCTGGGTTGCAATGGTGTGGTCTTGGCTCACTGCAACCTCCACCTCCCAGGTTCAAGAGGTCCTCCTGCCTCAGCTCCCACGGCTCCAATTTGCTAGCAGAAGCAAGCACCAGCTCTAGGTATGAAGCGTGCCGTCACACTGGTTTCTGCTGCCAGCTCAGCTAGGCATCCTGAGAGCACAGCAGTGTGGCAGTCCAACTGAGGAGAATCAGTTTGTTTTTCTCAACAGGAAGATGTGGATCGTATTTTCTCTGCTTCTAAACATGTAATTTAGGCCAGTTACTTAACCTCTCTGAACGCTGATTTCTTTGCTCATAAAAATGAAAACAGCAACACATGAACATAAACAGGGCTGTTGTAAAATCAAAACAGATAATATATCTGGAAGTCTTTTTTTTTTTTTTTTTTACTATGAAGTACTATACAAAAACATAAAGTGTCCATTATCTGCCCCCTAATTCAAGCTTGCACTGAGGGCAAAGCGTTTTTTGTTTTTGTTTTTGCTTTTTTTTAAAACACATACAGGCTAATTCACAGCACTCTAAATCAATGAAAAGCATTTGTAAATTACTGAGCTAGGAAGCAAGTTTACATGAAGAATACCTCTACAAGATCCTTTCTTGGTCTCAACTTTAAAAGGGGTTCGCTCAGGCGGATGGAACACATTCCACCCTTCCCTTCGTAGCTGCATATCCCAGCACACCTAGAAAACAACCACCATAAAAATGTGTTACATTGACCAAATATACGCAAGTCCTTAACACATTCTTGGGCAGCTCACACTAAGAAAACTCAACTGGCAGATGCCTTTCTTGAAAGCATCCCCGCCTGATGGCAAATACTCGCATTTCACCCAATTAGTTAAAACCCTCAGCAGCGCACTCTCACCACCCTGCTTCAGAAGGTGGAAGGCTGCAGGCACCTGCCGGAGACACCACACCAGTATCTGGTGTACAACGGGAACCCAGTGGAATACGATGCGGACATGGCCCAACTGCAGCTTCCCTTGCCCTAGCTGGGCTGCAACAGCTCAAAGACAATCTCATTCTGCTACTCCCAGTCTCCTTCCGACAAATTAGTTCGGTGTTATTAACAAGTCGATCTCCAGTAGCACATCTCCGAAATTATAACAGACGCCTATACAAAGGAGATTTGTACTTTACACACAATTTAATGGCGTATCTTAATTTGTTTCACTGCAGGTTTTCTATCAACTCAAAAACAAGCATGCTGGTATACAGCTGTATCTTAAACTTAACCCTGTTCACGTGCAGGAGTAGATTATTATTTCAAACAGGGATTTTTTTTTTTTTTTTTTTTTCCAAATTTAGCGTGTAGAAAAAGAACCCTTTTAAAAGCATCACTGGAGATCCCCACTGCAGCACACGAGTTCACTGAAGTGGGTTCCTAACGAGAATAGAGGAGGACAGCACACATCCTTTGGAGGTCACTCTGCATCCTCAGCACTTTCTTAGGGGCAGATTTGGTTGCTTCTCCCTTCTGGCTCCTAGAGCACAATCATAAGGCAAGTCAGAAACTTGCCATTTTCAAGTTTAGTGAGATTCAAATAAGAATCTCATTTCTCATTATGTCCGAGTCCAACCGTGGCGGTTATGGTCTACATAGCTTTCTTACTGTTCGAGCGGGAGAAACACGCCAAGACAGGAACTGCCAGGTCCAAAATCAGACCCCCTCATTTAACGCCCCCTGGGACGGTCGGACCGAGAAAGGAGAGAAGCCCAGGGCCGGGGGCTGCAGGAGAGCTGCTAGTCCCGCCTCTTTCCCCAGCGGGCTCGGAACTCACAGGGTCATTCGCACGCTCCACTTCACCTCGACGGCCCCCAGCTGGCCCCAGAAGAACTGGTCGTTAAACTGAACAAACAGGGCCTGCAAGTCCGGAGTGGGGTCCACCAATTCCCACGACGCGTCCACCAGCGACAGGGGCTCCTGGGCCTGATCATGCTCCGTGACCTGCAAGTTCCACTCCTCCTGAAGCCGCAGTGCCAACATCAGGTCATCATCCATCGCTGCCAAGATCCCAGGCGGGGTCCGCCGGCGTCAGGCTGGCTCCCGAATTAGGCCGCGACCCCACGCCGCCTCGCAGAGGATCAGGACTAGCTCCTAGGAGACACCGGCTCCCGGGACGGCCAATCTCGCGATAGTCCGCGGAAACCCGCTTGAGAACGAGAACGTGAACCAAAACGGAGCTTACCCCAAACGCCAAAGCCAAGGATTCTAGGGCTTTAAAAAGAGCAGTGAGCGTGACACCTCCTAGTGGGCGCAGATCCTGGGCCCGAGCCCTAGGAAGCTTTCAAGAAGCTAGTTCCAGCCTTTACTCTTTGCCAGTTATTTCAAACCTCAACGTCACTCTCGGTTCATGCGCAGTATCCAAGCTTCACTCGGCCTCTCCCCTCACTTCCGCAATAGCTCCTCTTGCGCATGCGCTTTAACCGATGGCAGTCCTACGCAGCCGCAGTCTGCGCTCGGCCCCTTGCGCAGGCGCAGTGTCTGACGCTCAGACCCGGCGCAGGCGTACTTCTCTCGTTGCCATCCTGCTTCCTCAGCCCTAGAGCTCCGCTGGTCTTGGGTGGGTCTAGACCGCTGCCGCTATTGCGGCGCCGATAGTGACAGTAAGTGCCTGAGACCCGGACGGAAATGGCGATGACGATGTCAGACAGTGGGGCGAGCCGCCTGCGTCGGCAGCTGGAGTCGGGTGGTTTTGAGGCGCGGCTGTACGTGAAGCAGCTCTCGCAGCAGTCGGATGGGGACCGGGATCTCCAGGAGCACCGGCAGCGCATCCAGGCGCTGGCGGAGGAGACTGCGCAGAATTTGAAGCGCAACGTCTACCAGAACTACCGGCAGTTCATAGAGACGGCCCGCGAGATCTCCTACCTGGAGAGCGAGATGTACCAGCTCAGCCACCTGCTGACCGAGCAGAAGAGCAGCCTGGAGAGCATCCCGCTTACATTGCTGCCTGCAGCCGCGGCCGCCGGAGCCGCCGCCGCCTCTGGGGGGGAGGAGGGAGTCGGTGGGACGGGGGGCCGAGACCACCTCCGAGGCCAGGCTGGCTTTTTCCCCTCCCCTGGGGGTGCCTCCCGCGACGGCTCCGGTCCAGGCGAGGAAGGAAAGCAGCGCACTCTCACCACCCTGCTTGAGAAGGTGGAAGGCTGCAGGCACCTGCTGGAGACGCCGGGACAGTACCTGGTGTACAACGGGGACCTAGTGGAATACGATGCGGACCACATGGCCCAACTGCAGCGGGTGCACGGCTTTCTCATGAACGATTGTTTGTTGGTGGCTACCTGGCTGCCACAGCGGCGGGGGATGTATCGCTACAACGCGCTCTATTCCCTAGATGGTTTGGCCGTAGTCAATGTCAAGGACAACCCACCCATGAAGGACATGTTCAAGCTGCTAATGTTCCCTGAGAGCCGTATTTTCCAGGCCGAAAATGCTAAAATCAAACGAGAGTGGCTGGAAGTACTGGAGGAGACCAAGAGAGCCCTAAGTGAGAAAAGGCGAAGGGAGCAGGAGGAGGCAGCAGCCCCTCGAGGGCCACCCCAGGTGACTTCCAAGGCCACCAACCCATTTGAGGATGACGACGAAGAAGAACCAGCTGTTCCTGAGGTAGAGGAAGAGAAGGTGGACCTCTCCATGGAATGGATCCAGGAGTTACCTGAAGACCTGGATGTCTGTATTGCCCAGAGGGACTTTGAAGGGGCCGTCGACCTCCTGGATAAATTGAACCATTACTTGGAAGATAAGCCTAGCCCACCTCCTGTAAAAGAACTGAGGGCCAAAGTGGATGAGAGAGTTCGACAGCTCACTGAGGTGCTAGTTTTCGAACTCTCCCCAGATCGTTCGCTGAGAGGTGGTCCCAAGGCTACCCGCAGAGCAGTTTCTCAACTGATCCGGCTGGGCCAGTGCACGAAGGCCTGTGAGCTATTTTTGAGAAACAGGGCAGCCGCTGTTCATACTGCAATTCGTCAGCTTCGCATTGAAGGTGCCACTTTACTCTATATTCATAAGCTGTGCCATGTCTTCTTTACTAGCCTTCTTGAGACTGCAAAAGAATTTGAGATTGATTTTGCAGGCACTGACAGTGGCTGCTATTCTGCTTTTGTGGTCTGGGCAAGATCAGCCATGGGCATGTTCGTGGATGCTTTTAGCAAGCAGGTGTTTGATAGTAAGGAGAGCCTCTCTACAGCAGCTGAGTGTGTAAAAGTGGCTAAGGAGCATTGCCAACAACTGGGTGATATCGGACTAGACCTCACCTTCATCATCCACGCCCTTCTGGTGAAAGACATCCAAGGGGCCTTGCACAGTTACAAAGAAATCATCATTGAAGCCACTAAACATCGCAACTCTGAAGAGATGTGGAGGAAGATGAACTTGATGACGCCAGAAGCCCTGGGTAAGCTCAAAGAGGAGATGAAAAGTTGCGGGGTAAGTAACTTTGAGCAGTACACAGGGGATGACTGCTGGGTGAACTTAAGTTACACAGTAGTTGCTTTCACCAAACAGACCATGGGCTTTTTGGAAGAGGCCCTGAAGCTGTATTTCCCAGAGCTGCACATGGTACTTTTGGAGAGCCTGGTGGAAATCATTCTGGTTGCTGTTCAGCATGTGGATTATAGTCTTCGATGTGAGCAGGATCCAGAGAAGAAAGCTTTTATCAGGCAGAATGCATCCTTTTTATATGAAACAGTCCTCCCTGTCGTGGAGAAAAGGTTTGAAGAAGGTGTGGGTAAACCTGCCAAGCAACTCCAAGATCTGAGGAATGCATCTAGACTTATTCGTGTGAATCCTGAAAGTACAACGTCAGTGGTCTAATGCTTGGGTCTGTTTGTATGTACATATATATATATAGAGAAAGCTTATATATTATTTATATTTATATTACGTTGTATTGGCATACTCTTTATATAAAGTTTTAAACACAACTTGAAAATAAAAAGTGTCCTCTTAGAAATACAAAATCAAAAGAGGAAAAGAAGTTAAACCCAAATAACAAAAATACTGGAATTATTGAAACATATAGTATGCTAGCTATCCTTCTGAATTATGCTAATTCTCTTCCAAAATTATGGTCACACTATACGCTATAGCATTTAAGGTTTATGCTTTGATAAAACACTTTTTTTTTTTTTTTTTTTGAGACAGGATCTCACTGCAAGGTCTCGACTCACTGCAGCCTTGACCTCCCGGACCCAAGCAATCCTCCCACCTCAGCTTCCCATGTACCTGGAAACAGGCAGGCACCACCATACCCAGCTAATTTCTGTATTTTTTGTAGAGACGGGGTTTCCCCATGTTGCCCAGGCTGGTGTTTTTTTTCTTCTTTTTTTCCCCCACAATATATATTATACAGCAGAGTCATAGTATTTATAAATACATAAGAGTTTAAGTATGTTGTGAAAAGTTTCCCAGTTCACTCAAATGTTAGGTTTCCTAAAGGGTACGGTGCCATATAAAACACACTGCCTCATATATTTCTCTTCAAAACGTTGGACTATTTGGGAAAAAGAAAAGTTTTGGAACTGGTTTTAGGGTTTTAGTCAACAGAATTCTTTCTTGAAATTAGCTGGTGTGTGGATTCAGATACTCTGATGAAAGCTTCATACTCCAAGAGGAAGCTTTCATAAAAACAATTCAGCAAATATTTCTGGTATAATTTGAATGGCTAATTTTCAGTTGCTAATTAGCAGCTTTGTAATACTTGATTTGGAAGCATTTACTTGGAAATCCTAAGGACTATAATAACATTTTTCAACATATTTCTAAGTTATGTTAGTTTCCAGCTGTAGCTTTTGTCCTCACATTAAAAAATAATAAGCAGGACACATTGGAGAATCTGGCAGCAGCTGCCAGGTTTTAGCTGCCACCGCTTCAGTATAAGATACAGCTGTCCCATCTTCTCCCATTCAGGGTAGGGTATATAGTGGCTCAGACTTCATGCAATTGGAAAAAAAAAAAAAAAAAAGTTTTCACTGAAATATTTATTTAGATTTCAGGGTCTAGATGGTTGGGAAATTAGAAAAACATGCAAATCCCATTGTGCTATGACTACTCTGAGCAGAGATTTGGTTTTGTTTCTTTTTGTAACAAAGTGAAAACAGGTGAGACAATATGCCCACAACAAAGGGAAGAAGAGAACCTTCTGTGACTCCTAACATGTTCCATGCTGCATTTTTCTTGTTTCATTTTTTTTATTTTCCTTGCTTTGCTTTTAAACATGAATATAATGCTTACTTCAAATTGTTTAGTAAAACAGAATAAAGAAATGTGAGCTTCTCAAGGTTTCTAAACTGTTGCTTCTCTTGTATATTCTACAACATTCCTCACACTTTGAGAGAAACTGCTTGCTATGATCAATTTTGTGTCTAGCTTCTAATGGTGATTCTTGTCCATAAGCACCATTTTTGATGCCCATGATTTCTCGAAAGATTTCTTTTATCTAAAGGAAAATGGTGGTACTAAGACTGTGAAAATTATGTGAAACCTAAAATAGCTGCCAAAGTGGCTCAGGGTTGTAAAACTTATTGACTTAATTATTCATGTGCCAGATAAATCCCTTTATTTTCTCTTTAGCTATGCATATTTAAAAGATTGGAAAGTATCAGATTTACAGATTTTCTTTGACTAATTTTTTTCACATAACTTTAGCATTTTCAAAAGTTATAACCGTAACTGGATATCTTAGCTGAGCAAAGACAGTTATAATTTTTTTTAAGATCACTGGAAATTGTTAAAATTTTGTGATAATTATGATTATTCTGTGCCATTTACAGTTTCTAATACTATATGAAACATGTATAAATATATGATGCTGAGTCTCTGAAATACTTCTGAAATCAAAATTCCTCATAAGGCATGAAGTTGTGAAAACTTAAATGTGTATAGTTAGATATTTAAATGGTTACTTCTTCATAGAATTGTCAGCTTTTTAAAACTGGAAGTACAGGATTTTCTTCAGGTAAAATCTGTGTGTTCCAATTACAGTTGTAGATGAAGGAAGTATGCTTTTGATGAGTCAATTAGTATGGGAAGTTGACTAAAGACTCCCAGTGTTGTGACGTACCTTTGTACCCAGACAGAACAATTATGTTAGGTTCCTCAAAGTGGAGTGGGCTTTCTTCTGTAATTCTTTTGTTTCATTAGACTCTGAGACAAGTTCTAAAAGTTGAATGCGATGAGAGATTGTCAGAAGTATGATGTATACTAAAATATACCACTTAAGCATTGATTGCCTTTTCTTGTTTGCTTTAAGCATATAAAACTTGTAACTTGAGCTTGGAATCATGGGCTTGATGGAATTAATTACTCTTGGGGAAAAAAGACACCTAGTGGTATTAAGTCTCTTTTTGATTAAAGCCTCATTTCACATAATTGCCGAAAACTCACTGTTGTTTAATATACTACCTATAGTTTAATTATTGGCACTTGTATTTTGTAACTTGATATCTTACCTAGG